TCCACCGAATCCCAGGCCTTTCCAAGAAATTTTTATACTTAAACGATGACATACTGTTGAGTCAACCCGTATATCCGGAAGATTTCTATACAAAAAGCAAAGGATATAAAGTGTATCTCTCGTGGCCGGTGCCTAACTGTGCTGATGGCTGTCCTATGAATTGGCTTAAAGACGGCTACTGTGACCAACCGTGCAATAAGTCTGAATGTCTCTGGGATGGCGGAGATTGTCTCAAAAATGACACTGATAAAAGTGGAGGTGCGGTCACATACACAGACTCGCCACACTATTTAAGATCATCGACAGCCTATTGCAGTGGAAACTGTGTGGATAGTTGGCTGAGCGACCGATTCTGTGATCAGGTCTGCAATAATATAAACTGCGGCTTTGATTTGGGCGACTGTGGGACCAGTAATTATCATTTACTCCAACGCATCGACTTTAAACTCAAACAAAATACTTACTCCTATTGTAGTAATACGACAGCAATTATAAAGTTAAATTGAGTAAAACAAAACTGTTTGAGATTTTTGCCTTTGCTGAAGCTCTAGTTACTTTAATCAATACTCTTATTGTCAATGCAAGCCAGCCGCCGTGAGTTATACTTGGTGTTTTGAGTTACATTTCTCTTCGCCCCTAATCAGGAGAAACACAATCTAAACATAACTCTGAAAGGATTGAAAAATAACTCCGAGTTTGTCATTCAATTTCAAGCCCTCGTTAGCGGCCATTTGAAATCCAATACAACCTATTCCTCTATGGATGACAATATTGATGAAGCAATGGATGAAAATGAGAATTGTTTGACAGAAACTTATTTATACGAAAATGAAACAAATAAAACATTTGCAAAAAATGTCTCAGAAATTCAATTGAAATTCACGGATCAATATCCGAGTCGTCCAAAGATATTGCCGTTCAATGTTTGTGTGAAATTATGTAGTAAACTTACACTGAAATTACATTCACTTCATAGCCTAGTCTAATTTGTTGTCAAAGTACTGAATCTGAATTTTATGGTTTTTCCCCATGAGTGACTTTTCCCTAAGTTGAATTTTAAATTAAACCTGATGCATTTATATGCAAAACAATTATGCAATTATGAGAATACCATAAAATCTTATGACAAAACAATTAGTGCTTTTGATTGGGAGAGAAAGTCGACGTTTGCAGACATCGAGACATCAATTCATGCAAAAGAGTTGAATGAAAAGCATAATCGCGTTATTCTTCGACACCTAATGGACTCATATGCAGATTCTTTACGACATGTCAATCATTTGTATAATCAAGTATTTGGTATTGAAATACGTAAAGTGCCCGCACATATGGCCCACTTCATTGATGTGGATATCATGTCGAGACTTCAGCAAACATTTCCCATTCATTTCGAGACCACATCATCGCATAAAATCCGCAGCTCTCATGACATGCAGTTTGCCTTTGCATACAATTACTATTTGATGAGTGAACTCAACCAATTCAATGTCTCACAACTCTTTGATCACTTCGATGTCGACAATTCACGGTATATTCATTATCATATAAAATAGCAGTTTTAATAGTTATAGAAAAAATTCTTAAAAATTCTATACAAATTATTAATCCTAATTTTTAGAAATAATAATTTTATACTTAGCTATGCTAAAAAGGCAATAATAGTATGCATACTCTAAAGAATTTAGAATTGATGCATAAAATATATAAATTTATAAGTTTTTTATAAATGTTATTATGATATGTTGTGTGTATTTGTTGCTCACTTGTGTTAGGACCTGGTCTGCGAGTGAAGTGCGGACAGTAATCATCAATATTTATGAATTGCCTCTAAAAGTGGAATTTATAGACGAGTTTTACACAATGCTATTCACATGTTGTAATTCAAGCGATAATTTGTGTGCTGGAGTGCAAAACAATGTGAATATTTCACAATATTATTATAGAGGACTACACAGCGAACAGAAACAAGTAATTGAACGCTAAGTATTGATTTTTGGGTCTCAATATGATTTGAGATTTATATCACAAGAATATTCTGAACACTTGTATATCTAATTCTTGAGCGTTTGTTCAGTCAATAGAGTTTTCAAAGTCTTTAGTCGTCGACTGCGAGAATGTGACGAATAAATTAACACAAATTGATGAAAAGCAAAAACGAAACAAATTTGAGATCATAGGCGAGGAGGAGGTGGTCTTCAAAATGATCAGATCTAACGCAACAATTGTGGCACAAGATTTGGATCAACTCAGCAAACAGTTGAAGAAATTTCTCTGTTTCAATGATAACATTGATCACCAAAAGGCAGATCGTCATGTAATTCAAGTCAAACAAATGTTAGTCGAGTTTTATGAATCAATATTTCCGATGAGATCGCAATTCGAGTTACCATTCGGTCAAACAAATCGATTCAAAGACATTCATGAATACAGACTGTGGAGAGAGAACCAAAATTCACATCTCATATATAGATCTTATATTAATATTTTATGGATTATTCTCATAGTATTGGCAGTTATTCTGGTCTTTATTCCAAAGGTATTTAATTGAGAATTGGTTTCATATTTTTGGAGGAAATTAGAAAACTTATAACAGAATTGAATGAGAATTTCACAACTAAATAAACTTTGAACTCTTTTTTATTTATACAGAAAATCGATTTAATG